CTAAGTTCGCAGCATTCGCGAAACGGCCGTGAATAACTAATAACACAATGATATTGTGGAAAGCTCCTCTTAGCTTTCCATAAAATAAATTGGTCGTAAAATAAATTGTGGCGTTTACCTTTGTTGCTTTTATTAGATCTCCATAATGACGGACATAAAATAAATGGAAAGCGTCTTTTATTACGGAGGGACGTAACGATGTTGCGCGGGGAGTGCAGGGTTTTTGCTTTAATGATAACAAAAATGTTTTTTAACAAAAACTCCCATTGTCGTCTCGCGCATTGGAACGATTTGTGAAACTTTAATAAAACTTGGCTTGAGATTGAGCCACGGTGAATCGCTTCCTCTTTGGCCGCTTATTCCCCCTCATAATAGAGCGGTTAATAGAATAATTATTGCGTGTAATGAATGACTTCCTAATAATAAAACGGCTGACCACTGTCATATCCGAGCACCGCGAGGTTATTGCGTTTGCGACCTTACAGCTTCATTTTTTTTCAAGTATCAAGCGCCGTCAGTAAACGGTTGAAATTTACTCTTAATGATGTCTCTAAGAGGGACACAACTGTGGGGTCAAATATGTTAATTTTTTAGTAGCAATCTCGTTTAATTGCAGAGTTCGCGAACAGCAAGCGGAACAAGAAAGTAAGAAGCGAGTTTATTAGCAATTATAATCTCTCTCTCTCTCTCTGCCATTCTGAGCCGCAGTAGCTTCCTCCTCGTTACCCGTCGCTGCTAAGAAACAATATCGCGGCAGAAATAACGTATAGCTAAAAATGTTTAATTCTTTAGTTAACAATTGTATTTTAAATAATGGCCGGGATTGTGAAAGTATCGACGACATAATTTCTTCAGGCAGATCTTTATTTACCAAAGTTCCGAAACGTCAAATCCTTAAGACGCAAATGCAAAGGAGTAAGGTACATTAGCAACTATAATTTCTCCTTCGCATCTGGAGCACGATCGATAAATTCCTCCTGGCGGAATTCGTCGGGTTCTCCGCGTCGTTGAAACTTGCAGCTGAAGAACTAGACCTACGGCAGCGATTAATACACAGCGAATGTGTGTCCAACATCTCTTGGCTGCAACAGTTTAAAGCATTTGCCAGGAAAAACCGGAGGAGAGACAGAGAGAGAGAGAGAGAGAGAGAGAGAAAAACGGGCCTCGAGCTTATAATTTCTTCTCGAGCGAGAACTTTGGAGCCCGCAAATGCGGCGCATTAACTCGAGTGGCGGTTCGCCGTGGAATAATCGACGGCTCTCCCGAAACTCGAGCACGTACATTGTACATGCCGTGGCGGCTCCCCGTTAATCTTCATCCGCGCGCTTAATCTCGTAAAGAGCCGGGGCGCGACTTCGCCGGCGCGGACGTTCAGTCGGCGCCACCGCGAAGCGCGTTAATTACGTTTACACGTATCGCATTTCGTTCGTTGGCGAACGAACGACGCGGTAGGCGTTCGCCTTTGTTACTTAATAAATAGTACGCCGGGTTACTTAATAAGTTACTTAATAAATAGTACGACGTCGTCAGATCGCCTGGCGCACCAAAATCGGCCATCAAATCGGCCGGCCACGAGCAATCGTCGTTCCCAGGCCAGTCACGATCGCGGCCGTTTCCTCCTCGTCGAAACGATCCTTGGCCCACCCTTCCTGTCTCCGTTCCGCCGAGAAAAACCTCACCGTGTGAGTCTCTCACGATGCCAGCCGCGTATCGACTGAAGCTCATTACGACATTACTCGCGCGTCAACGTCGGCATAACGATTAATTCTTTCTCCGCTATCGCGCGTATACCTGTACGTGTTACATTGTAGATATCACACAAAGGGGATTGAGGTGAACATTCCATTGGCTACTTACATGATTTTAGGATTAATTAATTAATACGGCGTAGAGAAATGTACGCTGCTCAGTAAACAAACAAGCGAAGAGACCCGAGTTCAAATCCAACCGAGAACACAGCTGGTCTTTCTTGGGCGGATTTTAATCGAATATTTTCTTCTCGGAGGCAACCATCGGAAAGTATTTAATACCTTCTTATACAGGGTGTTATGTAATACCCGCCTCGCCTCTTATTTACGAATAGAGCGGATTAGACTGAGTCGAAAAGTCCTCTACCATTTTGCAATTTTCGCAATGGTTAACGAGTTATTAACTTTTAAAAGTCGCTGTCTTAGCCCGGCCTACCGCCCAATTCAAGCGCGCGGACGAGATGCGGCCGTCCCCGCGATTGGCGTTGCTAAGCGCGCGGAGAGTTGTTTATGACACATGGCAACGGCTGCGTATAATAAACAACTCCCCGCGCGCCTAGCAACGCCGATCGCGGGACGGCCGCATGTCGCCGCGCGTTTGAATTGGACGGTAGGCCGGGCTAAGACAGCGATTTTTAATAATCAATAACTCGTTAACCGTTTCGAAAGTTGCAAAATGGTAGAGGACTTTTCGACTTAGTCTAGTCCGCTCTACCCGCAAATAAGAGGTGAGGCGGGTATTACATAACACCCTGTATATATCTACTCCGCCGTTGCCGGTCCTAAGCCCGGATGAGAAAAGAGGAGGATAGTGAGGCGAGGTTAGCACCCTATCTGACGTCAAAAAATATACCGCTCACAGTACCAACGTACTAGCTTCCGACAGTAACGTTGGAGCCGGACAGGGAATATTTCCTACACTAAGAATAAGAAGAAGAAGAATTAATAGAGTTTCTTAAACTTTTTTTTTAATTGAAGTACTTATTGTAGTATTTTAGTATTAAAGTGTCGTTTTTCATTTTCTTTCAATATTTCACGTATTCGACAGTGACGAAATTAACAACTTTGTATGCACATCGAAGATCTTAGCGAAAGAGTCGAATAGCCTGCTTATGCACTTATTTAGATGGAGAAGGACGGCACTGACCTCTGAAAATTTTATCCGCACGAAAGTTCGATGCTATCCTGCGATGAGGATCACATGAGATTTGTAATATTACTGTACGATTCAATGTAATATTAAACGTTACAGTGTCAGTTGTCATTCGGAGTTTCTTTTTTAGTCAATTTGGTTTATAATTAATTTTGCGGCTAATGCTATTTGCTATTTATATCATTTTAGTCGGGTTTAATTATAAATCCCTTTATCGGGGATGGATCGAGGTTGCTCGTAACCCTGCGTCATGGTATTGAACCCGTCGCTATAAGTAGTCCTTTGACCCTAGGTAAAGTTCAGGAAACCTAAACTGAAAGTCACAATTATCACAACTACAATATTAGAAGAATATAATGGAATTGATGCATTTTTTTAGAAAAGATTTAATTTTCTTAACATACAAAACAATGATAATTTGAGTACAGAAAAGTTGATCTGACACTTATTATTTTTCTGTGTACTTAATCAGAAAGCAAACGCATATTTTCAAACACATATTTTACAAGTGGCAACGGCGAACAAATGGAATAAACCGAAAAGGGACTATCGAACGATCGTCGTGATGTAAATTACTGTTGTTATATGAAATTGATTGATACAAATTTTTTTTATGGTAAACTGTTCTCAGTTACTCTCGTGAATACGGAAGTGTTTCCCGGTAAATTCTCCCAAGAATTCCTGAAAGCATCTTGCTCGTCCGTCTTTCCTGAAATAGCGCGTGCTTATGGCATTCGTCATTGTCATCCCGATCACGCGTTCGGTTTCGATATCCTGCCATTTACGGCGACATTACGACAGCGAATTTCGGTCGAGAGCGCAACCGACGAGCGTGCGTTGCGTGCATTATGTGCATGCAATATGCGGCGCGATATGCGACATCTCGAAAATTACGTACAGTCTCTTACCACGTAACAACTGGCAGGAACTTCCGTGTAGCTGTTATCGAGATCGCTTGGCTTTATATCGGAATAAGTTGCTGGATCAAGGTATTAATTATGTATATGCATTTTCGCGAAATCTTGTAAGAAATCTGCCAGTCGGGGGACATTACGTTCATTGTCCCACATTATGAACAAAAATGGAGCTTTAATACTCGGTTTCTCTTGTCCTGAGAAAATTAGAAAGTCGTTTCGCAATCGACATCTCTGTTCTATTTGTGCCTTCTGGAAAACATCGACGCATTAATCTGGGTTTTCCTTGGAAAAAAATTGAAACGTTAGAATTCCATTTCGCTCAAGAATGAAACTCGGATAATGAAAATAATATTCATTGAAAAGTGAATGCAAGCGTGACAAATATTTTCCATCCTGTAATCAGAAATATAGAATTTATCATATATTAATCATGAAAAATATTTTAGTATCTTCATAATTTTTGTCATTACAATTTACACGCTATTGAAATATTCTTAAATTCGTTAATGTAACTACTGAATATTTTTAGTATTAATAAATTATCTATTAATATTGCAGTAAAATATTATTTTTCATGTAAAAAAATTAAATTAAGTTTAAAATGTTCAGGATAAAAATATTCCTATCTTCAAATGCTTATAAAATACTCTTTGAAAACGTATTAACTTCGGAATAATAATTTTTACAATACTTCATTGAGATTATTTAATGAATAATGCTATATTATTAAATTTCGTAGCATGCCATAATGTTAAAATCACTAAGAAATTACAATAATATTGTTCGTGAGCTTAATGTATTTAATAGCACTTAATAAATTAAACGAAACTTTGCAAAGTTTTGCAAAAAGCTCGATAATATTGACTGTTATCAAGACGAAGTATGCAAACGCGCCCTGGTAAAATATGGAGTGGGGTAAAATAAAAAGTTAGAGGAGGTGGAAGACACCCAACTGCACATCGATCTTATGTTATAACCGGGTTTATAACTTGTTCAATGCTGCTAACATAATTCACCAATATTTAGTATGCCCGGCGGTGTGAAGGCTGGCTTCATACTTGTCGCGCAGAAGGTTTTATCACTTGCTTTTCGCAAGTGATAGTGGCGCGCAGTGAGCGAAATTGTTAATCTAGATATATAACTTGAGATTATAAAATACATTAGGAAAAGTGCGAGACTTTATCCCGTTCAATACGAAACGAAATGACACGCGATGAGTTCTGCCTCTGGAAATTAGATTAATTTCTATTAAATGAATATCTCGTTCACTTCTACATTTAGAAAGTAAATTAATCGTTTAAATTGATAATCCTAAAAGAATATTAAGCAGTAAAATATCAACCATTAATTTCAATTGATTATTCATTGCGATGACAAGTATTTTTAAAAACTGCTATCGAAAATTGTACGTTCTCACGAAATGTTTTATTGACTGTTACAGATATCAAAATGGGTTGTTTCGGGAGCAAAGACAAATTGAGCAAAGAAGATATGGACTTCCTCAAGTCGCATACGCGATACGACGAGGCGACCATAAAGGAATGGTACAAAGGTTTTAAAGTAAGTATCGAGAGCTGCTGAATATTACGATACCCGAGTCGAAATTTTGGCCCTATGTTGAATCTTTAATTCTATTATATAGTAGGACCTAAGGCAGTAAAAGAGGTTGAACTGAAAGTACAAAATTTACTTCTACTTATTAAAAATTGAGTAGTGTCGGAAATTTCTACTTTTGCCAATTTAGCATTAAAGTAGGTCCTTTTAAGTAGGAGCTAAAGTAAATTTTTAGAATTAAAGATTCAAGGGAGGAGTAAAAAAATATAATGCTATCAAGTAGGTTATTGCTGGTCTATGTAGGTGTATAGATCAGCTAAGTAGGTGCGAATTATCCTTAACAGTGTCAAAATAGTACCAAAATTTCGACTCGGGTGTAAGTTATGGATTAAGAATTGAACCAATGCGAACAGACAGGGGACTTGTGACATTTTGGTTGAAATTGAGTTGAACCAATGAATCCTTGCTTTAGTATAAAACCAAAGTGTTTAAAAAAATTATTAATGAAAACTTACTTCATAAGCCTCCGCCTTTCTCTTCAAGGTAAAGTAGCGTAAAAGCTACAGAGAAATTCATATTGTGCTTATAAAACATTTTCGTCGTTTTTTCACAAATTTTGTCACATGTACCTTTTCCGTTCTAATCGATTAAATTAATTTGAGTATTTTGCGAAATACGCATTTCTTGTGATTTTGTATATTTTATAGCGACCTCAATTTTTCTTCGTACATTCCCACAGTAATGCTTCCGTGATATATTATGACGGTGACGATAAAAGACATTTTAAAAATGCTTTGTAGGGAGATGAAAGATTATTCGCACAAACTGTATCTCCAGCGTTGAAAGAATTGTTTTTATTTCTCTTCTACCGAGAGCTTTATTTTTATTTGCGTGACGTATTGTTAGAATTCTTAGGCCACTTAGCATTGTTTGTGCGTAATAATAACGAGTGCGATTCATGATGGAAGGACATGAGTTTGCTGAAAATGAGTAACGTTTATTGCAATTACAGTTTTTCTCTCAATTTTCTTTGACGCAGAATAAACATGTTTGCAATTACACGACGAATTATTTATTTTATATTCGTTGCATTATTGATGGCCCTGCGTGATTGTTAATCCCTCATTATTAATTTCAACTTTTAAAAAAAGAAATGACTTCTGTAGGCTTTCCAGAATATTCGAGGCATTGCCAATAGAAACAATCTCGTCGTTGGTGACCTTTTACCATAATATTTTCGGTAAACGATCCGATATGTAACGGGTCAAGGAGGAACTCTCCTCTAACATGCCTTCCAGCCCCGCCCTATCGCTCTCTACGCGCTCATTTGCTCAGACGTTTCTGTGGGGGCTTTGCCCTTCTTGTCGCGGAGGATTCTAGCGTCTTCGGCGCTCGCTCAGGAATCGCAAGGTGTAGTGTAGGTTCCGTAAATGACGACTCGCTAGGGTAACAAGTGGTGTGTATTTATTATACAATATGTACATGAATATTTGCAGCTCTATATGTATACACGGGATACTGTGTTGGATTTCGTTGAGTATCTATCAGGTCGCCACAGTTTCAATAAATTATTCGATAACTAATGCGAATTTTATAAAATGGTACGTGACCATCTTAGTCTGACCCAATCTACCACCATTTCTCGTAGAGGTCCTCTTGTGTCAGACACCCTGTACCATTAATTAATAAATCGATCGATCTTCTAAATATTCTGAAAATATGAATGAGAGTATCTCATGACTGCCTGGTAAAAGGGAGTGACAATTGCCATTAATGGTTTATGCTTATTCAGCGTAATCATAGTAAATAGATAAAATTTTACGGATCGATACACTTGTCTCCACTACTTATGCCAATGTGGGTAAGGCAACCACAGATAGAGCTGTCCCAAATATTACCGTTTATTGAGGTTGTGCCAATCCTAATTAGACATGTGGTTACCATATCGGTCTCTCCGTGTAATTTATGAAAGTCCATGTGAATAAAATTGGTACCAATTCATTAACAAACGCTACATACACACGTGTCGATTGGAATATACGTATATACAGTCACTCGTATTCGCAATTATGCCGCAATTAAATACGTTAAGGTATTTCACAAGCACGCGCGGCTGGCCGCGAAAATGTTGCTCTCCTTTCCTCGTGAGGTGGCAGTGAGTGGTTACACGAAATCATATACGAAGGCTCACGGTTATGAAATTTTATAAAACGAGAGTTTATGGTTAAATCACAACACATATATTGGCAAAGTCACTTCGTGGCTTGTTCTCGGAGATATGGAACTTAATTCAGATGCAATAGCATTTTAGAAATACTTTTTAACATTTTAATATAAAATTGTGTTAATGTAAATTGAGTTTTATAAATATAGATTTAGATGTAAATTTTGAATTGCGTTTTGTATAAACGCAAGGTATTTGATGGCATTACTGCGACATTATTTGTCTAATTACGTTGTGACAAGCTTTGTCACATCTTATTAATTATTTAAAACTGATATGCGGTATAATTAATAATTAATATATAATATATTACTATGACATATTACGGTAAAATTTATTATTGATCCACTGAAAAATAGTCGCGTATCGATGATACCGAAACTAATTAATTTGATATACGATCTTTTATTTATTCATTCCATAGCGATAATTCATTTATTCCTCGCACATACATCTCTAAATAAATCACGTTGACGCGACGAGTTTTATAATTGGCGATATATCATTTTAAATATTACTTTTAAATCGAAGTTGTCTTCGTATGTGACAAACTTGACATTTAGTTAATTGACATTCACGTCATGGTTGGATTTAATTAGAGCATTATTATCTTAGAACATATTATCTTATTCACAGACAATACGCGTGTGTACAGTACACGTACAATACGGCATGTAGTATAAATATTTATTCAACGTTGGGGTACAATTCCACGTTGCTTTACAATATTGTGTATGTCACTTGCGCACGAGAAAGGTGATGCAAGTAAAAAGTAGTATAATTTTACAACTTCAGTATTTTCCTGACCATATCTGGCATTTTTAATAATACAGAAAATTTATTGCGGAAAATATTACCTCAGCCAGGGTTTGAACCCGGACTTTCCCTACACTCTATATTGAAGTTGTTAATTACCGCCGGCGACTTGAAGAATATTCTTATTAGTAATATAATTTTACTCTGGAACGATTTTAAACTTGGAATCTGTTCGCACGCAGCTACACGATACACCAAATTGTCTTTATTTTTCTCTTGCCTTGATAGATCTTTCCCCACAACGTGAGAATCGTACTTTTCTCTTAAATGTTCCTTCTCTTTACCGTCACTGTTTTTAAACGAAATACAGCCGTATTTGTCCTTTTTCGACGACAATTTTGTAACTACATTTGTGCCGCTTTTCTAGATAAAAGCGCATACGTTTTCGAGTTATAAAAGAGATAAATTATAGAGATAAATGATAAAAACGCAAAAACTCATATTTTTCAGTTGTGTCTCACTTTTCTTGTCCTTTGTAAAGACGATCTAATGCCGTGCAATTACAACATTATCGTGTCAACATTCGTTATCTCTACGTATACCAAATTTTTATACATTTTATGCGTGAAGTGCATTTAACGAAACCAGCGAAGTGTTACACAATGATATCTTGAGAGAGTCTCATTAAAAAAAAAGCCTGAAATTGCATTTAACGAAAATAGCGAAATGTTGCGCAACGATATCTTCAGAGTCTCATTCAGAAAGGGCTGAAATTAAGAACCGATTAATTTCCAAGTGCTAACACACAGTGTCAAGTTTATAGACACGTTGGGAAGCGCCGTGTCGTGAACGAGATTTTCA